ACATATACAAAGGAAATAAAACCATTATCCTGAAGCATTATATTTACCTAAGTTCAAGGCGGCAATGATCACAAAAGCAAAAGCAAAGAAAGGAAAACTATTTAAGTGATGGTCAATGAATGAGTAGATCAAGAAAATGTGAGAGAGATATATAAATACACACACACACACACACACACGCACGCACACACATACACACACACAGGAATGTTATTCAACCTTCAGAAAGGAAATCCTGTCCCTTGCGACAGAGACCTTGAAAACATTATACAAAGTGAAATAGGTCAGACAGACAGAAGACAACACTGCCTGTATCACTTATTGTACTAGGAACCTTTGTGGTATACTAGGAAAATTTGTGGGGCAGCGGAAGGAGGGAATTGAGTCAATTTCAGAAACGAAGAAGAAAAGTGGTTGCTCAGTTAGGGTGCAGGTAGGGTGCGAGAGGAGCAGCTATTAAAGGGTGTTGTCTTTCAATGGTTCAGATGAATCGGGTTCAGCTATCCAATGATGTCGGGAAGGAGAGAGGTGGGGGGGAGGGGTGCAGGAGGGAAACTGGGGACACTGGTAGTGGGAAATGTACACTGGAGAAGGGATGGGTGATGGAACATTATATAACTAAAACAAAATCATAAACAACCTTGTAACTGTGTATATCACTGTGATTCAATAAAAAAAAAATTAAAGAAAAACACCTCATTGCATGACATCTGCTGTGACGTAAGACTAAGTGACACATACTTCCAGAGTGACAAGAGGTGTCACTTTTGCTAACATCTCCAGAAATTTTGGAAAGATGGTATCTCTTAAGAAATTGGAACAGTTTCCTTGTTTTTAAGCTTCTAGTTTTCAAAACTAAGAATCTGATATCTGTATATGTTTTTGACAAGCAATTCAAGAGCAAACATAATAGTGTGAGTTCAATGCAAAGGAACCAACGTTTTATGGTACATCTTGTTTTGTACTTAAAAACTCCCAGAAGTTTCTTTAGAATTTCTGCTCAAAACTCATAGCAAACACTGCTCTTGGCCATAATAAGTCACCTTTCATACCACTGAGCCAGCGTAATAGATCCATTTAAACTACTGAACAATAAGTTGGTTAAAAGGATTTAAAAAAAAGTGTTAAAACATCTTTCAGCTTAACATATTGGAGATGGGAAGAAGGTTGGGGCCAGGGTCAGGGATCACTCCTGGCAGGCTGATGGAGCTGTCTGGGGTTCTGGGGATTGAACCTGGGTTGGCTGCACACAAGGCAAGCAACCTTACCTATTGCTCTGGCCCCAAGCTTAACATAATTTTAAGCCTGGTTTTTAATTAAGCTTAATACTTCTCTATTAAACCAAAAGAACATGATTCCCTACAGCCTACTACATAGGCAATTACAACATATACACTATATATAAATAATGCTCTCTGTATATACATATATACCACACACACAAACATCTACACTCAAATCTGCATGTAAAATTTCCAAAACAAGAATTTTTCAACTGCTGAACATTTAACCATCCAAAACAGAATTTTCATGAGCATTTCTTAGAGCTGAATCTATTAAGTAATTGTGCATCAATGCCATGGAGTTAAAGCTGCCTGCTTGTCTCCATTAATAGTATGCACTTATTATTCTGATTTTTATTAACTATTTTTTGCAGAGCACATTCTCTTTCACCCTTGAGGCTAAGCTTATTTACAGAATAAACATTATAGTAGATCTACATATGCCTTTGGTTCAGTTAAATATCATGTAAAAACGGGCAGAACTGTACCCACTTTGGATTTCAAAACTATTTTTAGCTTCTCATTTGAACATTAAAAAAAAAAAGAAGAAGAAGCTTGCCCCATAAATATGCTAACTTGAATTTGTGTTCAATCAAAAACAAAATCAACAAAGAAATTAGCTAACTACATCTGTGAAGAGCGACTGGGACAGATTTCACACAAAACAGATGTTTTAAGTTGCACACAAAAAAAGCTACCTCTGTCAAACCATTTGGAGAACAAGAAACCCAATGTGTGAGGTAAGTGAGATCAATCTGTTAGTCAGTGTAGAGTTTGTAGCAAATTGACATCGATGCAAAGACTTCCTGAAGCGCTTAACCTAAAAGGACAGCGACTCTGCCATCCCATCTGTTGGTCCAGTGCCCTGAAGCTTGAGAACAAATCAGTCCTGGGTGGGGATCCAAGACCCCCAACAAATAAAAAGACCACTGGGAAGGATAATGCTCTTTCAGTTGTTTTCAAACAAGCATGAAATTTGCCAAGAGAGGGGGTTATGTTTTGAATAATACTCATGCTTGGGAGATTGCAAATTACCCTGACAAGTAAAAATGGTAACAATTTGGAGACCTGAATAGGGCACTTGCCTTGCATATGGCTGACCCAGTTCAATTCTCGGCACCGTGTATGGTAGAAGTGACCTCTGACATAGAGCCAAGAGTAAGCCCTGAGCATGGCCAGGTGTGGCCCTCTAACTCTTAACAGTAGCAATTTGGACACTCAGAGTGAAATAGAACTTCAGACATGTCTTCCTAACACCAATGTCTCATGACCAACTAGTGAGCCACATACTGTCAAGGAAAGCATAGAAAAGGGGCAAAGAGACATATCTTCGTGCCCTCTTGGGATTAAGGCCAGACAAAGAGACAGTAAAATGATATTTCATTTGAGACAACTTCCAGTGAGAAGCTGGGCTTCCCAAAGGAAGGTGATTGGAGGTCTGGGCTATGGTCGGCCACTAATGACCCCTAGCAGGTAACTATAGGCACAGAGAATGAGCACTTACAAGGAGCAATGCAGCAGAATAATTTTTACCATCTGTTGAATCTGATCATTAAAAAATTAAAAAATTAAAAAATCCAAGCCTGAATTTTGAATGTCTCGATTCTCTTTCATTTCACTCTCCTGGTAACTGGTTATTACCAGATTTTATAAGAAGCATTGATCCAGAATAAATTGGAAATATAAAAACCAAGAAAGTCCTCTGCCCTGTTTAAGACAATCTGAAGCAGAGCACCCAAATAAAAATTCTGTATGGATAACACGCACATTATGCTTGCAAAGACACTGATTTATAAGCAAACATCTCTTAAATTACTTGAATATTAAGAATTTTTTCCAAAGCAGATAATTTTGCCCATGAGTAATACAAATACACTAAGTTCCTCTGATTAACATCTGAATTAATCTAGATCTATTTGAATTGTGGGTCAATGAGATACCATACAATCAACAGTGTTTGGAAGAACTGAGATGCTTCATTAACGTGATTTCATTGAGAAAGGAAGAGTTCTGTGGTCCAACAAGTGTGGGGCACAAACTCTACCCCCCGCCCCCCACTCCCCTCCTGGAGAGGCGTAATACACAGGCACATATTAAGCATCCTTAGAAGGCCTGTAGTTAAAAAACTGTTCAAATGCACAGATGTGCTCTTTCTCCAAACACATGTTAACAACCCTGCTCGGGGAAAACACAATTTTGGAGACGCTGTAATAGTCAAGACTCCAGATTAGCAATCAAAAACCTGCCCTGAGTATCACTTACAAGCTGCTTCTTGTCTTCGTCGGTAAGTGAACCTCATTACCCACCTCAGTGCACGCTGAGTGGCAGCACGGATGAGACAAGGATGTAAAATCACTACTCTACTCCGGCAGGAAGGGGCAGCAGGAAGTGAAGGATTTGCCCGCAGCCTGGTTCCCGCCACTGCACTTGACAGCCCAGCAAACACCCAGTGCTCACACAGACATCGAATTGTTCCAGGGGAATCTTCTAGGTTGTCCCTGTATCAGCCACACACTCAGGCTGGCTAATGCATTTAAAAAGTTATGGGGGGGGGGGGGGGGGTGCGGCACTAGAGCTCAGGGGGTAGGGCATTTGCCTTGCAAGTGGCTGACCCAGGTTTGATTCCCAGAATCCCATATAATCCCCTGAGCACCGCCAGGAGTAATTCCTGAGTGCAAGAACCAGGAGTAACCCCTGAGCATCACTGGATGTGACCCAAAAAGGTAAAAAAAAAAACTGCTTTGGGTGGGGGGGGGCTGGAGTGATACTACAGCGAGTAGGGCATTTGCCTTGCAAACAGCTGACCCGGATTCAATTCCCAGCATTCCATATGGTCCCCCAAGCACCGCCAGTAGTAACTTCTGAGTGCAAAGCCAGGAGTAATCCCTGTGCATCGCTAGGAAGACCCAAAAAGGGAAAAAAAAAAAAGTTATTTGGGGGTCGGAGCGGGGACACTCCCTTGGACCCGTTTGCCCTGAAGAACCCATCATCCTCTGGTTGTTGTGGGAGGGTGGGTATCCGGCATCAGTCCCTGAAAAGATAGACGGGCCCCAAAGGAGAGTTGGTAGAGGCCACAGTCCCTGTGCAGCCACACAGCTCGGAGACCTGGGGGAAGTGTGGGTCACAGCTGGGCAGAACCCAGGGGGTCTCTGAGACCCACATGCACTGCCAGGTTCCCCGTCACTCCCTTCTCTTACAGAAACTACAGGTGCATGCAGGAGAAGCTGGATCAATTCTGGATCAATACAACTTACACAAACTGTATCACAGCCCCCAAGAAAGCAAGCAATGTCACACAGCAATCACATGAGGGGACTTGAGCGTATCTGTCCAGCATCACAGTCTAAGCCAGCTTCGACTCCCCTGGTCAGCGATCAATAATAATAGAGTTTCCCTTCCAACCGCGGGTAAACTTCAATGGCATCTCTGTGTATGGTAGCACCCCACAAGTGGGGCTGTGTCTGCCAGGTCATTCATGTGGTCGGCGCAACGTAGGTCAAGGCCTGGGTTTCCTTTCAGACATTCTTCCAACCACCAGACCAAGGGGGTCTTTGTTAAGGTCAAAATTATCATGAAACATTATTTACATAGCACACAGTAAGCACGGGGCCGCAGTTGTTACCAACACGAGTCGCAAAGTGAAAATAGGAAAAGGAAAAAAAAAAAAAAGAAACAAACCAGAAATGAAAACGATAAGAAGTCATTTGTTTCACTCACTGTTCACATAGACGTTAAATGTCACGGAAGAAACAACTTCGGCATTGGACACGAGAAACGTGTACGTGCCTCCTTCGGTGGCTTTTAATCTGGTTAGGTGAAGTTCATTGACATATCTACAAAGAAAGGACAAACACATCAGTCACCGAGACTGGCCCACCTCAGCACCAGGGGGAACAGGTGCCAACTGGGGGCAGGAAGAGGCTTCACTTAAGTCAATACTGACTGGAGTCGTGTGAATGCGCACACACACACACACACACACACAAGCACTCGGGGGGGGGGGGGGGGAGAGGGAAGAGAGGGGAGGGAGAGAGTAAGAGAGAAAGAGAGAGAGAGAGAGAGAGAGAGAGAGAGAGAGAGAGAAGGAGGGAGGGAGAGGAAAGAGAGCAGGGAGCAGCCAGTGGCTTTTTTCTGAGCCTAGAGGCCAGCTCGTGAGCTCTCCCTCCAGCCCTGGCCAGCACATCCCCTGGTCCTTGTCCACCCCCTCTCCTCGGGATGCTGGCCTCCCTGCGGCTGCTGCCTCTTTCCTTACCGGATATTACTGTCGTTCTCTGACTTGGGGTAACCATCCGACTTGTCGGCGAAGGTTCTGTTCATGTACAGCCACTGCCGGTGCTCAGGTTTGGGGTAGGATTCATATTCAACAATCAGATCGACATTTTCGCCATTGTTTACAAACACGGTGGTGTTCATCATGGGGAAGATATTAATGAATCCTTTATCTAATAGTGACAATAAAAAAGAAGGGGGACGGTTATCCACAAGATCAGACTGCACCCCACATCACCCCACCCCAATCCCCAAATGGTACAAACACAACTTCATCTTTGGACTTGGTATCTGACTCATTTGCAGGATTAATTGGCAAATATAAATGAGCATTTTCCATTACAGCTTGCTCTCATGGAATTGTTGTCATAGAATGAAATGGAACCCAAATCATACAGAGCAGGTACTCTGAGTCCTTTCAGCCATCTCCCTGGCCCCTCCCTTTGTCCTTTTTCGGGTTTTAGTTTGCTTGCAGGGTCACTTTTCTGGGAGTGCTCAGGGACCACTACTGGTTTCATGTTCAATGTTGTCTGAGAGGGGCTTTGGGGAACCACGTGGTGCCAGGAATCAAACCTGGGCTTTCATGTGAAAAGCAGGTGCTTGGTTCCATGAGCTCTGTCTACCTTTGTCTCTAAACATGATTTGCTGTGATGGTTCTTAGGCTAAAATAACAGTGGGGGAAGGGTGCCCCAAGAAGCACTGGAGAGAGGAAAGAGGCTGTGTGCCATGCCAGTCATCCAATGCAACAGTGTCAGAATTGTGCATCAGGTGGGTCCTACCTAAAGAGGGTCTAAGTTCACCTGAGTCACACTCTACAGTTTTGGGGTGCCTTTGGGGTTGGACTCAGTGCTTAAAACCCAGCCCCACATGGCTATCCTCAGGGGACTGCGTATTGTTGCTGGGGATCACATTCAAGGCATGAGTCCTAATCCTGGTACCATTTCCCTGACCCCTTAAGAAGTCACTTGAATTAAATTTAGTCTATACCCAGATTCAATATAGTTGGGCATATGGCAAAGAGGTGTCATAAATCAAAAAGAAGAGGGATTCTAGTGTTTAACAAAAATGCTGAGAAATAGGCTGGAGGAGAGATAGTATCAGGTAAGATGTTCAACTTGCATATGGCTAACCCAGGTACAATCTCTGGCGTCACATATGGTCTCCCAAGCACCACCAGAAATGACCCCTGAGCACAGAGCCAGGAGTCAGTCCTGACCATAGCTGGGTGTGACCCCAAAAGAAAACAAAATGTTAAAAAAACAGATAGCATTTAAAGAGGAATAAACCTTCATTCCATCACTACAGCTGGACCACAGATAACATTTTCCTAATCATGCCCCCTTGGAGGGAGGCATGTTTTGGTTCACACCCAGTGATGCTCGGGGGCTATTCCTAACTTGACTGCTCAGAGGGTATCCAGGGATCAAACCCAGGAGTCCTGCATACAAAGTGGTTGCCCCACGTCACTCGGTTATCTCCCAGGCACAAGGTCCCCTTCCAGATATTTTCAATTAAATAACATAATCAATTTCTATCAAAGTTCCATGGCAGAGCAGTTTTCTAGGCTTTTGAAGCAATGGAAACAAATGATAAAAAAAATCTGAATATATAAATATTTTAAAATGCATGTAATTTAGAAATGTAAAATTAATGAAGGGGACAGGAAAAAAGGTCATGAAAATGTAGAAGGAAAAAAATATTTACACTAGTAACTGAAATAAGGCATCAGTGATCACTTATTAAAAACAGCAAAAGCTTGATAAAGCTGTTAAGAAAGAAGTATAGCAAAACCAATCTGAACCAATTTGGAAGTGTGGAAGAAGCATAATGAATGATTGAATTGGTACAGCTCTTTCAGAAAGCATTTATCAATACAGATTGTTTTCCCCAAAATATCTATTCCTCGGGGCCAGAGAGGTGGCTTTAGAGGTGGAGCATGTGCTGTTCATGCAGAGGGCCCAGGTCCAGTCCCTCCCCAGTACCACAGGGGGGAACCTTCCAAGTAGCCCCTCAACATCACCAGGTCCAGGTGTGCGCCAAGATAAACCCCCCAATTAAATTCTCTATTCTTAATTTATCCCCATAATTTGCCTTTGGGAATGCTTCTTATTGAGGCATGAAGTTGTAAAAGGAAGTTCTATTCACATTGGTACAGTAATTTAAAAATGAGGAAATGAAGAAGAGATCTGATAAGTATCTTAAATGTTTATACGGGTGCCCCCCCTCCCCCACAGCCTGTGTTCTTTATTGAACACGTATCCTTCTCTTTCTCTCCTCTCACAATTCCCTAATTAAATTCCCTTAAATAAAAACTATTTTGCTTCAATCAAAGCAAAACAAAAATGGTTATACAATAAAACAGAACTGAAGAATAACTGAGGGCTGGGGAGAAACTCAAGAGGTAAAGCACATGCCTAGCATGCATAAAGTCTTGAATGTGATCCCTGGCACGCTATGCGCCCACCCCCAGAACCACTGGGGATCGCCCAATCACTCTGGGCTACGGTGAGCTCTGCTGGGAGAAGCTCCTGAGAGTGACCCAGAGTGACCCCTGCACTGTAGCACTCTCCTCCCCTTGTTCATCGATTTGCTCGAGCGGGGACCAGTAAGGTCTCCATTCATCCCAGTTGCATGCTAGTGCAGCCCAATGGCATCTGCTCACTCGAGGAACACGAAGTGAGACTTGCTGTTACTGTTTTTGACATATTGAACATGCCACGGGGAGCTTGCCAGGCTCTGCCTTGCCAGCGGGATACTCTTGGGAGCTTGCCAGGCATTCTGAGAGGGATGGAGGAATCGAACTGGGGTTGGCCACGTGCAAAGCAAACACCCTACCCGCTGTGCTAACACTCCGCCCTATAGAAGATAACAAAATCATTGCCAACATGAATTTTTTTTTCTTTTTGGGTCACACTCGGCGATGCTCAGGAATTACTCCTGGTGGTGCTTGGGGGGCCATATGGGATGCCAGGGATCGAACTCAGATCATCTGCATGCAAGGCAAATGCCCTACCCACTGTACTATCATTTTGGTCCCCAATATGAATTTTTGTAGTCACCATTTATAGAATGTTTACTGTGTACACCAAATTGCCCTAAGAATTTTACAATACATTGTACATATGATATATTTAATCTTGTAATATACTGAAAGAGAAAGCTTAATAACTTTAATTTACAGATTAAAAATATTGGAAAGCCTATAGCTAGCTACCCAATGGCAAGTCCTAGATTTGAACACAGATCTCTGAGAAAACTTACTATGGAAGAACTCAGAGGCCCCACATAGTTTCAGTGTACACAGCATACAAAATAGAAACCTCTGCTGTACAAAAGTATAAAAACTAAATATTTCTATCAAGTGAGATTATAAAAGAGTTCATTGTATTCTCTCATTTTAAAAAAAGGATTTCACTCTCTTTGGCACTCTGGTTAAAATTACCGAAGTCCTATGGGAAGTTGTCCTCTGAGACTCTTGAACCCACTTTGGTTTTCTAGAGGTGCAGAAGAAAAAAAAATGAAATCCAACTCTCCTGTGTATAAACTCAGAAAAGTGGACTCAGAATATTAAATGAAAATCAGGGACAGAGATCATCACCTATCTGAGTTGAAAGTAATAGACCTAAGGATTCTTAAAGCGAAATTTGATTACTCTGGAGAGAATACGTTTCCTCAGAATGCTGCAAGAAATTTTCAAGTTCTCAAAAACATAAATCCAAGGATATCACAGAACACAGAACACTGAGACACTATAGCCAATAATAGACTGAATTATGTCTCTGGCAGTCAACACAGATATACAACTCATCTCAGGTTCCTTTGGAGTTTCCTTAAGTAAGTTTAGGGTGGGAGAGATCTCCAAATTCTTTAATTTAGAAATTATTGGAACCAAATGAAGAAGTTGGTGGTTTGATCAAGTGCAAACAAGATGCGAGGCAGTTCTAGACTATTTATTGTCTTTCTTCCTTTCTGCCTCCCTGGAAGTTATCAGATGTGTTTCTCAGAAATAAAAATGCAGCAGAGTTAAATTGGGGTGCATTTAAAAGACAGAGTGCCAATTCAATACCGGATCAGGACCACTTCAAAGCCTTCACCAGTATCTGCGCTATATTCAAATCCACTTCATCTCCTTTGCCGTGTCCTTCTGTTTGTGATCTCTCCAACCCACTACCGAAACAACGCAAAACCAGATTCGGGTTTCACCACTGAAGGTCTTTCCAGTTATACAGTAATATTCTTGGAAATTGATGAATGCATTTAAAAAATCTGATTACATACAACAATATGCTCAAAACATCCTTACTAATTGCTTTCTGGAGCTGAAGCTGATATATCAACATGCTCCCTAATCAACTTAGCAAATTAGCACTTATGGAGTTTTAATATTTTAAAAGCATAGCCTCCTATTCCAATTAATAAATGGCTCACAATCTCACAATCACGTTTAGGGACAGTAGTGTTCGTTCTCTGGCCTGACTGTAATTGCAAGTAAAGTATCTTCTCCACATTGGGTCTGGTGACACATTTCCCATTACAGCTTGGGCAAGGATACCAAAATTCAATGAGAGTAGGGTGGGATAAATCACAGGGCTCAAGCACTGCTACATCAATTATTGAAGAAATGGTTGGGGGGAGAAAAACAAATACCACAACATTTTATAATGGTGCATGAAGAAAACTTTCATCGCTCTGGAAGTGCTTAAGCAAAATCATGCACTAAGAATATGGCTGCCTGAAAGGGACAAAAGCTAAATCCAAAAATTACTCAACTTAAAAAAAAAGTATGAGGTACTTTAAAATTATTCTCAGTGAATCTAAACACAGCATATTTGACTGTATTCTGTTCTCTTTAAATTATTCTCAGTGAATCTAAACACAGCATATTTGACTGTATTCTGTTCTCTTTAAATACAAGTACTTGGAGACACACAAACAAATCTCAGATCCGAGCAACTTGCTGCAGAGATGGGCCTGGACTTTGCAATAGGCTGTTTCCACTGGGCTGCTCCAGACGGGGGCAGGTGCCGTCCCTCTGCCTGCCCTCTAGGAGCCCCGGCGGCCACCATTTTTCAGAAGCCAGCAACAAGCATCAGGTACAAGGGGCAATGGTGGAAGATGCCAGGCCTCACGGGACAAGGGTAGAGTGGGTCCTTCTCCTTTCCCCTCTGCCCCAATGGGACTCTGAGATGACGTCACATCCGGCCACCGTCTACTTAAGCTCCCACAAGGCCACGATCCAGAGACACACCAACGAATCTCGGACCCGAGCAACTTGCTGCAGCGATCTCTCTAGATCCTAATTATTAAAAGTTTAGAATTCCGAGAGTGCGCGGCTGCTCTCTCAGCCACCCGACATTATACTGTATTAATAACAAGCAATACAAAACACATTGTCCAGCATTGCCTTTTTGGCAGGTACGAATGGTGGTGGGTCTGGTAACTAAAGTAGAGAAAGAGTATTGTGCAAATTGTCTGCCACACAGGCAGGGGAGGTGTAAAATGCGGGGAGGGGGATACTGGGGATTTTGGCACTGGAAAAAGTGCACTGGTAAAGGGCTGGGTGTTTGATGACTATATGTATGATCAAAGCTCAAACATGAAAGTTTTGTTACTGTACCTCACAGTGAATCAATAAAATAAATAAATAAATGTGCTTGGAAAGGAAACAGCTGAGGAGCTATGTGGCATAGGGAAGAAGCACTGTAGCACTGTCCTCCCCTTGTTCATCGATTTGCTCGAGCGGGTACCAGTAACGTCTCACAACAAATTGTGAGACTTGTTGTTACTGTGTTTGGCATATTGAATATATCATAGGTAGCTTGCCAGGCTTTGCCGTACAGGTGAGATATTCTCGGTAGCTTGCAGGGCTCTCCGAGAGGGGCAGAGGAATCGAACTCGGGTCGGCCATGTGCAAGGCAAACGCCTTACCCACTGTGCTATTGCTCCAGCCCATAGGGAAGAAAGAAAGGAGAGAGTAAATATCTAGACTAGGTATAATGGGGTTAGGGGTCCAGGTTGCCAGGTTCCAATTGCTACTCTGTAAAGCCAACAAATTTTAAATAACGTGGTACCATAATTTGTGCTAATTAGGACACATTCAAGTGTGAGCCACCAGTGGCACATGCAGTCGTCAGCATGATAAGGAAAAAGAAAGTGTCTGAGATGGAACAGACAGGGGGGGTCTGGGGCAGAAGTGCAATTCAGCAATTCAGCCTTTCCTGCCTCTAATGACCAAGAACCCACAACAGGTAAAACAATGAGCTAAATGGCTGAGGAACCCCGCCAAGAGTCAGAGAAATAAGTCTCGGAACATTTGTGGCTTTTAATTGAGCTATCATGGTTTATAATAGTATTAATATCATTGCTCTCTGCTTACAAAACTACCACGCGACACCCACTCCAGAGTGCAAATATCCCACCACTAGGGTCCCTGGATTCTTTCTCTCTGCCTCCCCCTAACCCTGCCCCACCCCATCCTAGCCTCAGTTCTCAGTGCCCCGGGCAGTATCTTATACAACATTCATAGAACTCTCCTTACATCCATCTCTAAATTCAAGTTATTCAGAGAGGACTCAGCCTTTAAAAAAAAAGCTCAACAATTTATGCTTTATTTGTTTTGGTGGGGAGGGGAGGGAAAGTTGCACCAAAAAATGACAAGTTTCAACAACCCCAATTACAGCCTCCACTTCCCTCCTTATAGTTGATAAATTTTACTTTTGTCACCTAGCTGGAATTGGCTACAAGGACATTCCCTGCCAGCCAGCCACTCATTCATTCAGTGATAATAAAATTTCTAAGAATCTGTTCAACATTCCATTTACATAAAAAGGAAACTATCTAGTAATTTCTTTCACAACCGCCAGTAATTTATACATTCCAATAGAGATATTTACCTACGACTTCCAAGGTTGTTGTGACATTTGCGGATCCAAAAGTATTATTGGCATAACACATGAACACTCCAGAATCATTAACTCTTGCTGAGCTGATAGTCAACTTTTCCTGACGTACAAATTTGAAGTTGTCCTGGTGCCAGCTATTACTCTGTACCTGTGCTTTCGTCTGCTGTTTCAGAAGGGGAGGGGGGTTAAAAAAGAATTAAAGATTACCATAAAATTCATATTCATGATCTTTCCTGGATAAATTAAAAATAGCAGCAATTAACTTCATATTAGCATTTATTATACACTTAAATAAGAATAATAAAGCATCGTGACAAGTCTGTCATTGGAACAGTTCATATTATAGGATTATGTTGAATGACAGTCATTAACAATCATTGGAAAAATATAAAATTTTATTTCTTAATAACCACAGCATAGTCCCTTCTAAACTCCACAGTGATACATTTTTTTCATTATGAGTTTTAAAGTTAGGTGATAAATATCACAAAACAGATACTTGATGAATCAACATACTTATGACTTACCAGTATTTCCTATAATTCATTTGTATTTTATATTCCAGTGAGTGAAAGAAAACACATTGCTAAATAACAATCTTGTTCTACCTTATTAACAACTGTGCTATTTCCAGTAAAATAAAAATAATTATATTGTCAATAACTAATTTGGAAATCCTATGGTTATTCTCAAAATTTTGCCAACTCTCAAGGCAGTTCCAAGGTACATGAGACATAAGATCAAGGCCCAAATTACTCAAGCATTGGTTGAAAAGAAAAGGCATAAGTTTTCCGTTATCTCACTTAGTATTCATCTGTAGATAAGACATGAAGAGATTTCTTCAAAGGCTGAGGGGGGGGGAGAGAAGAAGGGGCAAGGGGGACCCATAATACAAACTATAGCTGCCCTATGAAAAGATTAAAGGGAAGGATATATTGTTTTCTGCATCTTTCAATTTTTTTTGTATTTTTCTGTCAATGCACACAATCCCCCCAGAAAGAAAGTAAATAGGAGCTGAGATTGATACAGAATGAGATCGAGTAATTTGTCGGCCAAGCTATGGTGAACCTCTATAGCACCAGAACATTCTGACAATACAGCAAATCAGAACAATTATTCTAGAAAGCAATCTGGCAGTCCCTTTCTACCCTAGAAAGTAACAAAAGCAAAAACTCCAAAATGTTTACTGCCATAAACTCAGGTATATATATCAGGTATCATATCTGTGACTGTGCTGAAATAAGAAAAAAAAAGTTTCTATTATATAAAAAGTGTAAGTGTATACAGTAAAACTATAACCCTGCGATAATATGATTTTTTTTTAAGATGCAGGTATATGAACTGGTCACATGTTGCTACTGAACACCTGAAATATGGTCATCCAAATTCAGTGTCAGAACTAAATTATGTGACAGATTTTGAAGTCACAATATGAAAAAAGAAAACAAAATCTCATTAATTTATGCGGACTACATGATAAAATATTTTATAATTTTAGGCCAAATAAGACACATTATTAAAATCAATTTTACATTTTCAATCCTCTGCCCTGTGCCTACTAGGAACTGTTTAATGACATAGGAGGTTTGGATTATATTCTTACTGCCTAGTAAGACTACAGAGAACCATGGGATGATAAACTATTTTTAACTCATGTTCCATTTTGGGAATTTTTTTTTTACATTAAAATAAGTGCACATAAAAGCTGACTGCCAAAGTGGAATGCTTCAAAATAAAAGAGAAAGTTGTTTTTGTTGTTAACTAGCAGAAATCTCAGGCAAGTTAAGGACACCACTGGCCGGCTTCTAAAATGGGGTGAAGGAACAAAGATCTCTGAAGACCTCTGCAGTTTGACACACAATAGAGATTTGAAGCTACCCCCTATTATTTGTTGTTACAGAGCTAACCCGGCAGGTGGTCAGGCTCGAGTCACAATACAGGCAGTGCGACCCTGCAACCCGGACTACCCACCTCTAAGACTCTTCTGATAATTGGCAGCAACCTGCCATTTAACTGCATAAGATAGACTTTATTTAATAAGTTGCAGTAATAACATGAACACGTTTCCCACTTTCTCGCATCACAGGCTTCTCCTCTGCAAAGGAAGACCCACAGTGGATAAAATGCTTCTAGATTCAGGCATTTTTCTTTGATACTTGCAAAAGCCTAAGTAGCATCTACATGAGGGATCTAAACAGGAACATCGAGATGTCAACACTGGAAGGAAGAGCTTGGTCATGCTGGTGGGATATTAACAACCCGATCCAAAGACCTAATTAGGACTTCATCAAAGATCACATGCTAAAGCAAGTAAAAGGACTGAGAAGCATTAGAAAAGCTGACCAAGACTCCCTTATGTTACCCAACCAACAAAGGCAAAAAACTAAAAACACCCTCTCACTTTACCCTCAATGACATTCTGAGTTACAGTTACTCTAAATGGCCAGAATCAAATACTATGGATTTTTTAAAATAATTTGATAGTGCTAATAGTGCCAACCATTCCAAATTAAGCCAAAGGATATCAATAAAAGATTCATGGATGCGCCTTGGCAGGGAGCCGAGAGCCCATCTGCAAGTCACACATTACATATTGTTTGCACCTGATTTGGTTTTCCTTAACCCTTAGAGGGGCATGCTGGGATTTCCCTTGGGTTCCCAGCACTGCAGGCTGATCCTCCAGTGCCAGTGGATTAATTGGGAATGGCATGCAAGGCCCCTGGGAAAACCGCTCAGAACAAAACTGCCTGGGGCAATTTAATTTCTCATCTCAAAAAAAGACTAATTTTCAAGTTATACAGATGTTCACACACACACACACACATACACACACACAGTCTAAATTGTTCTTTCATCTGAAATCAAGGATTATAAAAAGTCATTAAATATGGGACCGTGTTCTGTTAGGTAAAGAATCCATCCATAAACTATTGCTTTTATTAAATTATGGTTTTAAACTTGTTTATCTCAACCATTAACAACAAATCCATAGCATAATCCATTCTCATAGTCAATGGCTGGTTTCATTTAGCAAGGTATCATCCATCACTGGTCCATACAGCTACCATTATAATGCTCTTGTATTATGCTAATCACCATGGTTACTTATTTAACAAAGAATTCTTTAACAGGCATGAAATTGCCCATGTTGACTATATATGAGACCTGAGGAGGAGGAGAAGGAAGAGGAGAAAGAAATCATGTTTCTGTTTTCCAATGTAATACAAAACATACAGAGAAAAACCATTATGATAGCAAGCTTAGCTAGCCAAGCCTAAACAATTTTGACTGAAATCTCAAATCAATGGAAATCTCAAAGCAAAGTATTAAAAAAAAACAAGACATTTCCAAGACATTGTGGTTAATATTTAGAGGGAACATTTCCTTCAAATGTAAGTGGTTAAAATTTATTTTCATTTTAAGATATGATGGATCTGGTATCTGACAGAAAGTAGCCATTCAATAGGCATTTGTTAAGTGAATGAAAACCTAACCATGTGCAAATGTTTCAGATGGAAGATAACCATTTTATTAATAGGGCCTAAAACAAATAGAAAACCATTAGTAACTTGATCCCAGGTAATCAGCCCCAGGAGGAAATCAGACCCATCCAAGCAGAAACTCAGCTCCTCAAATGCAGGGGTCACTTTGTGGGGGAAGGGAAGGACTTCCAGGGGCACAGTTGAGATCGTTGGGATTTTTTATATATATATTAATATGGAAGAAAAGGGCAACTCTTGCCCATTTTTGAATGTGTTCTAAATATGCTGGTCACTTGTCGTAAAAATCATGGAAGAATATAGTTAAGCACTCATTTTTCTTAACTTTCCTAACTTAGGCATTCAAAGAAATAGCAAGAGGTAAGATGAGTTTGAAAGGCTGTGATTCAATTACCTGACAAAATGCCATTTGGTACTAATAATGAAAATACACATAGACGTGATTTACAGAAGGTGTGATAAAAGGAAAATTAAGCACCCAACATACTTCCTGGGAGAGGCTTGGCAGCCGTGATAGCTCCAGCACACTCAACAGAAGCTATGGAGAACCTTATCATGACCCCCTCCCACAGACAGCAACACACTGGGGCGAATGAAGCCAAGAGTTCCCTCACCTGACTGTTCTTTATCCACATTGATTCCACGAAACTAGACACATCCTGTATCCAGCAAGTCACTGTAAATTCTTCCCCTTCCCGAAGAAGTTGGCTTGGTTTGGAGACAGTCACAATGGGCACAGCTTTGATGGCTAGAAAAATAAAATTTTGGCTTTCAAACAATTTGCTTTAGTAGAATCTGGAATTTGTTCTTTACCATTATGCCTCATACTTGGCACAGCTTATTTTGATGTCCTTTAAATAAAATACCAAGTATGGTACTAACAATTCTGCATTGTTTGCACCACTGAAGACACCAACGATCAAAGCAGCCTCCTCCTTCAAGTAAATCCATTGAATTTACTTGAAGTCCTACTGAATGGAGAGGTGAGGAATGCTTTGTTTGAGAGGACAATGCTATTCCGAAACAGGTAAATATCCTGACAGGGCAAAGTGGCATGACCTTCCAGGATTCATTCGGATGTGACCCACAGCCAGTGACACTTTACACCTAGTGGACTGGTGCAATATACAAATATCCTGCTTATTTCTTGAAAAACCCTGTTTTAAATAATCAGACTTGTCTTCATTTCAATGAGCATCCTTTTCCAAAAGCCTAGAAAACACCAGCTTAACAGCTAAATATCCACCATTACTGAACTACAACAAACCTAGAAAGAGAACCTAGATCTCTTCCTGCTCTAGAGGACACCACCAGAGCAGTCAGGATCCCCCTCCTCCTCAGAAGAGGAAGTTCTGAGAACTCATTAAAATGAAATAGCTGAAAAGAAAGCTGATGCATAAGGATCTCAAGGAATGAATAATCCGGATGTGAATCAGAGCTTCCCAGTTTCCCTTGGAAGTACCACTTTGTGCAGTGTAATGGCTTTGTTGGGAGGGGTTGGGTGATTGGGTTTTGTTTTAGGGTGTCAGGGATGGACTCAAGGGTCTCACCCAGGCTAGACTGCTGCACAACCAGAGTTGGGTTCCCATGCCACATCCCGGATGCCCCTTTGTGTAAGCATGAAGTGTTTTGGTAAAACTGGGAGGCTTAAGGACCACCCCCCTAGACGGTCTCCATGGGAACCCATGACAGAGAAGCTGTAGGCGGTCATGGAGGAGTACCCAGAGGGTGGGGTCTGAGGAAGCTGGGACCCCACATCTCCAACATGAATTTGAAGCTCAAGAAATGGAGTTTCTCTCAGCTGTCAGAAGGATGAGACAAAGTTAAGAGAAGAGGCAGATGGCCAGGGTGTGTCCCCATCCAGACCTGGGGAAGAGCCATACCTGCCCTCACTTTCAGGGTGAATTTTGGGGAGAGCACTTTTTTGCCCTCGTGGATGGCAGAGCAGTGCAGGCAGAGCCGATCGTACTCCCGCTTCACGTTGTGAATGGTGATGCCCGCCTTGGGGTTGGCCACAAACTTCAAGTTGTTAGGAAGGGACTGCCCCGAGCAGCCTGTGAGCGAGAAGTCAGTCACCTCTGGGTTGGTCGGCAGACAAAGGACCAGCGTGTCCTCATCTTCTTTGCCAAACAATGGGCGGTCAGATTTGATGAAGAGCTTGTCAGGATCTAGAAGGGATTAAAGAAAAAAGGAAAAGAGTCAGTACCATGGCAAGGTACTGACCTGCAAGAACCCTTAAAAATGCTGATTCTTCTATTAACTGGCCCAGGGGTCTCGGCCACCTGCTGGCCTTTCCTTTGCAATCAAAGTAGAAGGAATGAATACAACACAGCAGAGTTCACCGTCCATCAGCATTTCCCTTGTGACAGGCACTCCACAGGGTCATCAGTCACTTTATCTCCATTTACTGTATTGTTCTGGGTCACACTTGGCTGTGCTCAGGGATCACTCTGGTGAGGCTCCAGGAACTGTACAGTGGCCAGGATGGAACTTTAGTTGGCCACCTGCAAGGACACAGCCTTAGCTCATGGTGTGCGTGCTCGCTCTCTCTCTCCCTCTCTCTCTCCCTCTCCCTCTCCCTCTCCCTCTCCCTCCCTCTTCCTCTGGCCCCACTTTATCTCATCTAATCCTTAAAACATATCTCATCTAATCCTCAAAACATCCCTATATGAAGGGCACCATCCTAATCAATCAGCCTTCAGAGAAGAAGTAAAGGAAGCTGTTTCACACACAAGTGGAGTCTTTCCCAGAGCAAGAGAGTCCCAAATTTGGGGCAGTGGGCACAGAATCCCACCTCCAGTGCCATTTTTACCACACCCTAGGTGAGCTCTGAAAACTCTGAAAGAACAGCTACTCATTCTCAACAATGCTTCAAAGAGTACTGGTCATGAACAGGTCCATCTAATCATACCTATGATTGTCAAAGGGATGTGACCCACAGCCAGTGACACCCTTCTAACCTAGAAAGCTGCTCTCTGGTGCAGTATACAAATACCATGCCTGTTTCTTGAAAATGCCTGTTTTTAAGTAATCAGACTTGTCCTCATTTCAATGAGCATTCTTTTCCAAAAGCCTAGAAAACACTGGATTAACAGCTAAATGAACACCAACTGCTACTGAACTACACAAACCTAAGTAGAGTATCTAGATCTCTAGAGGTTCCTCCTCTAGACCCTGGGCACAGACCCCCTTTCCAAAACCCCCTCCTCCCTGCCCACTCCATATGTAGCTTCTAAGAAGAATTTTAAAAAACCCTCCACAGGGGCTGGACTGATAGCACAGCGGGTAGGGTGTTTGCCTTGCAAGCGGTCGACCCAGGTTCGATTCCCAGCATCCCATATGGTCCCCTGAGCACCACCAGGAGTAATTCCTGAGTGCATGAGCCAGGAGTAACCCCTGTGCATCTCTGGGTGTGACCCCCCCCCACCAAAAAAAAAAAAAAACACCAAAAAACAGCCCTCCACAGAAAACCCAGTGCAAATGATATGTGGGCCTGATTCTATTCTTTATATTCCTTGAAAGGCATGTGCAATTCTGGAAATTAACTAAGTTTAAATGCACATGGGGACCTAGGAGTGTCAGCAAGCCTGTGGAAACTTCTCAACTATCTAAACCCCTTTTTAAGAGCAAAGGGTATTAACGATCATTAAAGTAAGACATTAGGCATGGATGACAGAGCTTCAGACCAATTAGGCTGTCATGTAAGCAAAGAGAAACCTCAAGTCTACACAGAATAGAGTTCTGAGCTTTAGAGTTGAGCTCACAACTTACATTTAAGTTTTTGGGGCCACACTCATTGGTGCTCAGGGCTTACTCTTGGCTCTGCACTCAGGAATCACTCCTGGCAGGCTCGGGGAAACCATATAGGATGCCAAGGATAGAGCCTGGGTTGGTCACAAGCAAGGCAAACATCTTATCTGTTGTGCAATAGCTCCAGCTAATTGTTTTTTTCATTTGTATTAAGGCACTACAATTTGCAAAGTTATTCATAGTAGCGTTTCAGGCACACAATGTCCCAACACCAAATCCCACCACCAGTGTCACCTTCCCTCCACAACTGTCCCCAGGTTCCCTCCCAGCCTGCCTCTTTGATTGGCACACTGTTAAGCTGGGTTGCCATAGTTTCTATCTCAAGCTTGCGGTGTTGTTTGCTCTGTGGTTTGGATATAGATACACACAGCACAGTGCGCCCAAGAACCCTGACCCCTGTCTGCCTCTTACTTCCCCGCTAAAATTTGTTTTTAAACAGTCCTTTCCACCTGGAATCAGATGCTCCACACAACATGAATTTTGACATGACTGAAACATGCCATCCATCATTTAAGTTTGACCTATTTTGAAAAAATTTATCAAAATGAATTGTGCACCTCTCAGTCTGTGCATTTACTCTGCAAATGAATTACTGCATGGAGATTGACTACCATGGCTTGGTTCTTTTTTTTCTGTCCTTTGAATTTAGCTACTACAATTCTCCACTTCCTGAAGGCTATAATGTAGGTTAAGTATCCAATCATCTTAAATAGGTGATAATTTAATTCTAAGTTACTGACAGAGACTTCCCCTGTTAAAGGAAATCCATGGATTTTATGACATTGATTTGGTGACTTCAGCAGTTTTTCCCCATTTGTTTTCCCCAGTTGTCTCTCCATTCTATTAATCCACAGGATGATGCTTTTAGCACAATCTGGATAGACAGTCATTTCTTCTTTTATTTGATTTTGGCCACACCCAGCAATGCTCAGGGCTGACTCCTGGCTCTGCACCCAGGACTAACTTGGAGGGTTAGGAAAGGGATGGGTGTTGCTATTGGGAGGCTGGGGATCAAACCTGGGTCAGTCATGAGCAAGGTAAATGCCCTAATGCCCTATAACCTCTGTCCTATCACTCCAGTCCCAGCAGTCATTTCTTATCGAATGTCCAAGAACAGCATACAGGTTGGCACATTGATGGAGCCAGGCCCAGAGGCCAAGCTGTGTGGCCTATCGGTGAATATTTCTTCTCTGGACTCTACCTCAGAAAGGACAGTACATGAACTCTGAGGCACAGACAATGTCACAGCCAACTTCTTTAAATGGAACACATGAACCAGCTTTATTCACCACTGACAGAGCTAAGCTTTGGCCACTCTGTCTCCCTAACAGTCACAAAAGACAGGCAAAGCAGGAGACGGAGACCCCGGGGGTTGGTCGGCTCTGCAATTTGGGATAAATGCATTCCTTTCGCTTCTCCCATGGGTGAGGGCTCCTATTCAGCCTGTTACAGTGATAGCCCCATCCAGCCACCAAACCAGGACAAACAAGAAGCTACAAGCCAGGTTATGATCTAAGATTTAGATGCTGAAATTTGGGGGGAACTTTTTTCTCTCCCCTAACAAAGAGACACTCCTCCCTAAACCTTCCCCAGCAAACCTCCACTTGAAATGGTATTCACTGCACAAAAACAGCTGAATCACTGGATTTGTCCCAGAGAGCAAGGTGTCAGACTCCAGCTGCCATTTTTATCTTGCTTCTAAGTGATCGCAATGTTTTACAATGGACCAACTAACATTTATTAAGGACCAAAGAGGAGTAAGGGACAATTAGCTCACTGAAAATTTTTTCTGGAATTTACTCCCTGAAAGTGGGTCAATTCTTTTGAAGTGTCAGTCTGTGGGGGTCTGTAGAGGCCCTTTGTTCCCTGAAGTGTCTTTACTAGATGGGGGTGTCTGGGATCTCAAGGTATTAAAAAGTAGATTTCCCAGAGGGCCTAATAAAGTCTCAGGGTTGACCACAAGCCTCAAGACAAATGGACCTACGCATTGTAATCTCATTAGGAACTGGGGCACAGTCTGACAACCTTCAGTTGGTGTTAAAGCTACAATTTATCAAAAGATGGGGAAGACTGACAAACAAACAAACAAAATGTCTAGGCTTCCTAAACCCAGCCAGTTCTGTTTCATCTACAGCTCTGTCATCCTTATTTGTGTTCGTCAAATGCTGGGACCAGTGCCAAACTCATAGGTGTAGTAGAAAGGCTGAAAAACCACCTTGGTTATAAAGTGCCAAATTGGAAGAGAAACGGGACATTGGAGGTGGAAAATATACGCTGGTGGTGGGAAGGGTGTTGGAACATTATGTGGCTGAAACCCAATTCTGAACAACTTTGTAACTGTGTATCTCACGATGATTCAATAATAAAAAAAAAAATCTAAAAAATCAAATTAAATTTAAAAAAAAGAAGAAGAATGAGGGGCTGGAGCATGAGCACAGCAGGTAGGGTATTTGCCTTGCATGCGGCCAACCCAGGTTCGATTCCCAGCATCCCATATGGTCCTCCGAGCACCGCCAGGCGTAATTCCTGAGTGCATGAACCAGGAGTAACCCTATGCATCACCGGGTGAGACCAAAAAAAAAAAAAAAAAAAAGATCCGCAAAAGCAGTCTTTCTCAAAATTGGGATCCATAAGCCCCCCGCCCCTTGGGGATACTAGGCTATTCTGAAAAGTTCACTGGTTAAAACTGCAGCAATAATAGAGGAGGGAATGACATGCAACTGGAGGTCAACAGGCAGGATTGGGGGGGGGGCGGGGGGGGGGCGGGGCGCCGCACAAGGATGGGGAGATGGCTGGCCACAGGAAAGAAAAAGCTGGTAAAACACTGCTAGAAAGCATAATTACTGGGGAGGGGGGGAGAAATCAAGTCTTTACCTTTCACAAACACATAAATAGAGCTGCTAAGGCCAGCTTCATTGATGCAGGTGTAATTGCCCGTATTGGGGGCCTCAGCGCTGTCTATAAGCCATTCACTCTGAGTATTCTCATTCAGCACATCCAGGGATGCAAAAGTCCACTTGACAAATCCAGGATCGGTGCAGAGCAGCCGAATCTCGTCACCAACACCAACTATTAACTCTGATTGCGCTGGCTGGATGGATGGAGGAGATGGTTCCTGTGGACTCACAGATGGTTGTGGAGAGCCTGCCAAGAAAAACAAGAATTGTGTTGAGTATGATCTTTCTATTTGGTAACATAAAGCCTTTTCTACAATCTTCCTTTCCATTTTCTGTGTTCTCTACAATAAAAATAGGACAGAGCGGCCCTGCTATTTATGGTGAGGAAGAAGAGATTCTTAAGTTCATCTAAAAAAACTTTTCTACAACTCTCAATTAATCCTGAAGGTCATGCTTGGTATGCAAACCAGGACGTGGTGGATGCTGTGACTTCTCTGGGTTAAATGTACAACTAAACCAAGTTTCCATTCTGAATATGGACTACTAACAATGGTCTGAGGACAACCGGCTTAGATTTAACAACAGCTACAAAAATCTCACAATGAAAAACAAATGAAAAAAAAAGTTATAGTCCTATCCCTGTTTAATTGTACACAACCATGATACAGCCTAGTTTTGTCTTACAGTTCTATTGATTAGTCATCTCCATGGCAGTGGCCTGTAGGACAACCTACACCCAAAAGAACCATTTGTCAATTTCAAACACTAAGCAGATATGACACTACCTCATAAATATATTTCTTTGTGGGAGAGGGTGGTGTGAGCACCACATCATAGCCAAAAAGTACTCAGGAGTTACTCCTGGCTTTGTGCCCAGGGGACCTGATTGGTGCAGGATCAAAGCAGGGTCAATGGCTTTGTGCCCAAGGGACATGATTGGTGGCAGGATCAACACAGGGTCAATGGTGTACAAGGCAAGTGGCTTAACCCAAATACGACCTGTCTACCCCCAAGAGCAGACCAGGAACTATTTCAAGGCAGATGTTGGGTTGCAGGCTGACTGACCAAATGGCTAGATAGGCTTCCCAGGGAGAAAAATTAGCAAGAAGATGCAAAATTTAGCCCAGAGATGGGAAAGGTCCAGCTCCAACTGGAAACCATGGGTTCTGGCCGCAGTATATGATGTTCCAGATACGTATGTATGCTTCTCCTTGGCTGCCTATGACCAATTTGCTGTACTGTGTGACACCAAATATTACAAATATCCAAATGGCTCTTGGTAGAGAAAAGTCTTCCCAAACTGCTTTAGACTGTGAATATAAAACATGAACCTTTTCATTCATGCATGAATACAAATTATATCCGTTCATTAATTATATGCAGAAGCAAGGTGCTGGGGAAAGTTCATTTATGTGTGACATGTGATCCTTACACTTCAGAGATCCATGAACATTGCACTCAAATGTCCAAACAAATAAATGAGACACAGCTACAAGATTGTACTTTAAACTGGAGGGAAGGGGGGGTGTGAGCAGGATATTCACAGTATTAGAGGAGTCTAGAAAAAACAGACATGCACCACTGGTATTAAATGACTGTAGAAACACAAGCCCTTTCAGCACTAAGCCCACATGAAATAGACTGAAGGGCAGCTGTGAAAATCTGCAGTATTTTCCCCTTTGCGATCATGTAACACACCTCAGGCTCACTAAGAGGTTAATTTTTAATTCATTTTCAGATTGTTGCCAAATTTTTCGTGACCTACCTCTCTCTCCTCCTCCACATACACTCAGTTACATGAATCCATGTGAGGTTATGACCGGTAGTTTAAGAAGCTAGGCACCATGCTATTATTAAAGCAGAGGTTCCAAACTTATTTGGCCTACAGCCCTCTTTTCAGAAAAAAAAGGGGGGGGGGGATCACATCACAACTTCCCCTGGAAATCAGAAGGGAACAAATTGAGAGGGAATTGCACCTGTAGTCACTGCCTTTCCAGGCCCATCACTCATTCTGGTAAAGACTGTCAGAGAAAAACCCTAAAAATGGTTATGAAGTAATGTGGCAAAAAAAAAAAAACCCAAGGTTGACCAGATGCCCAGGCTGGGTACAGGAAATGGAAGCAAGTTTTCAGCTGGGAAAGGGCTCAGTGGCTATCGGTGCTGGCCTTGCAAGTGTGAGCCACGAGTTCACTCCACGGAGCCTCCCAAATATGCATAAAATGGGGCGCAGAAATGGAAGCCCAGATGCCTGGGACCCCCAGCACCACCACGGGAGATACTGTCTCTGGCAATAGTTAAAAACCAGGTCCAGAGGCCCAGGAGATGGCTTCGTGGCTAAAGTACCCACCTTGTATATGTGAAACTATGAGTTTAATCCCTGGTGTTGCCCATATATGCTAAGCGTGATCCTGGGAGCTCTGCCACTCAGGCCAGAGGCTCGACCTGGTGATCCCTGGGAGCACTGTGGTCAAGGACAAGAGCATTGCAACCCAAGAGGCCACCCCACAGCAATGCAACTGTGTGGATGTGTGGAGGCCAGGCACCCCAACAGCAGCAATGGAGCAAAAGAAAAGGGGCATGGGGAAGAAGAAAAGGTTTCTGGGTGGGGGGGGCTGGGCCAGCAGCATACAGAATGCCCTGGAAAGCTTTCAGTCAGTTCTGCAGAATCTCACGGTATGGACTCCCAGGGATGGGACGTGGGTGCCACCAACACACACCAGGATGGACGGTGCCACCAACACACACCAGGATGGACACTAGCACTGCCCTGATTCAGAAGCCGGAGTGAGCACCACCAAACAGGTGGGAAAGGGGGCTGGGAAGGAGTGCAGAGGCTTCCAGGGAACTGTGCAGAGGCTCGCGTGCTGTAAGGGAAGAGGAGCAAGGGGAGATGAATGGGCCAGGAGAGACCAGGGCTATTCCCAGCTGCCACCCGGGCAGTGGATGGATCGCTCACCTTACGCCCAGATGGTCAGATGGTGGAGGCAGAAAGGCTGGTTTCAGTGAAGATAAGATATGGGAGCAGGTGATCAAGGCTAAGGACTGTGGGGAAAGAGAACAGACTGAGGGTGGGTCTTAGAGGGCTCTGCTGGCCAAAGAAGAGCACAGAGGGGAAATTACAAAAGTGTACACATGCATGCACACACACAGACAAGTGCACACACAAACACACACAAGCCCAAGTACACATATGCACACCCAGGCACACACATGCCAAAGCACACAAGTATAAACATGCCTACGCAAGGACCTGCAGAAGTACACAGATAAGCAGGCACGCGTGCGCGCGCGCACACACACACGCACACACACATAAGACCGACTCGAGCAAGCACACATACTCATCCAAGACAGGAAGAGAAGAGATCAAAGAGGCAAAGAAGGTAATGCACAAGGCTTCAAAGGTAACACGGCTGGGCACTAGATGGTAAACGCTGAGAACAATGAGAGAAAATGATAAAAGGGACCCACATTTGATGAGAGACCACAGGAAATTCAGGAGTAACGATCTCTGCTATCTAGGAAATCCTTTTTGCTTCTCAGTTGAAGGGAAAAACAACCATCGACGTTTCCAAGAGCGGGCTGGGGGTGGCAGAAGGCAGAGAAAGAGAGCTACAGTCCCACATGGTTCAAAGTGATGCAACCCAGAGGCCCAATTGGCATGTGAAGCTAGGAGAGAGGGATGTCGTGAAGGTGCTCAAAGATGGGGTGAACCTATCCCCTAGGATAACTGGGATGGGAGCTGCCTCAATCCCAGTGCATTACTCAGACAAGATCTTCAGGACTACCCTGGCATCAGCCACTGTCTGCGGTTGTCACAAGAAGCTTTTTCAGTCGGATGAGGCCATCAGCAGGCTGGAGTCCCAGAAGGCAACCATAAGGTCATTATAATCATCAAATGTCACTTTTAGCACCCACAGGAGACAGGCTGCTGGGCGAGGCTCCCAGGTCCACTGAACTCAGCCTCTGAATGGAGCCAGCACAGGAAAGTATACGGAAGCCAAGCAGCCAGGATTATTCTCAGAGTCACTCAGAACACTCGAGAACACTCCACAACACCCCAGAATGGGAATGGACACAGAAAACAAAGGGAAACACTATAATCTTATCTCTCCCCCCTTTAAAAAACAAACAAACAAAAGGTAGTTTGGGGCTGGAGTGATAATTCCAAGGATGGAGCCCATGGCTGGTACACACTATCCCCCAAGTCCCATCCACAGCATCACAGAGTCCTCTAAGCATGGGGGTGGGGGGGGGAGGGTCCGGTTGACCCCAGCAACACTGGCCCAGCACTGAACTGTCAGAGGCACACAGTCAGGCCCCAGGACTGCCACACCGTGTGAGGCAAAAAGCAAAAGAGCAGTTCAAAGTGAATGTGAGTAACCTGCATAAAAAATTCCATGCAGAAATTCTATTGCAGAGGAGGGCCAGAGAGAGCACAGGGAGTAAGGTGCTTGCTTGCCTGACACACAGCCAACCCGGGTTCAATCCCTGGTATCAAATATAGTCCCCTGAGCACCCCCCAGGATACACATGTGTCCCTGAGCACAGAGCACAGAGAAAGGCCTGTGTACCCCAGTACGTGGCTCCAGCCCCCAATAAACATTTTACCAGCCTTCCTCCCATCAGCCCCAATTTTCACGTCCTGTGGTGAACAGTCCCACCATCTTCTCCAGGGGCTCCTCCTCATGTCTCCACTCCAAGCAACAAATCCCAACTCCCTTTCCCTGGCACCCGCACATCCAGGCACCCCTTTCTCTGCTGCAGTCCCGACCCAGACCCGACACCTGCCCCCTCTCCAAGAGACACCCTGCTCTCCCTCCACCAAAATCTCCACGTCACCAGCCTCAGCTCCCATGTACCCTGCTCCTCCTGACTTACAGCCCGGAGGTCCCCAGGCTGTGACCTGCCTTTTATACAACCTAACTACGGACTCAAATCCCCAAAGAGAGACCTCAGGATGGGTCCCTCTTTGACAAAGCATTTTAACGGGTCTGATTCCTACCTTTCTTCCTGGACCCCACCATCCTCCCCCTCCAATAAAACACAGTCTCCGACTGACTGGCTCATAGTCCTGTTAGGGGTTTCCATTCCTTGTGAAGCCCCTCTTTCTGCTCTTCCATCCACCTGGGCCCCCAAAGACATACCTCCACTGAATCGAAAGGTCCTGGCATCGTGGGTGCTGTTCATACCACTGCAGGTTGACCTGTCTTCACTACATCCTGGGACACATTCAGGCTTGCCTTC